CCTTCACCCAGCCTTACCTGACTCCTGCAGCAGCTGCTTCATCTCGGCGGCCAGAGGGTCCTCTCTGACCGACGCAGCCTCCTCTCCCCGCACAGGTGCCCGTACATTCTACTGCTAGGGGTGGCAGAGCGGGGGGGGAGGGAGGGGGATTTGCATGAAGGAGCTGCGGGCCCTCTGCTTCCTCTCTGGGCCCCCTGAACAGGCGGAACTCCTCGGCTAACGAAGGGAAGGAGGAGTCCGGTGACATCACGGATATCGAAGTCACCGGACTCCTTCGTTAGCCGATGGAGCCACTTGGGGAAGGGGGAGGAGTCCGGTGACGTCGATGTCCGTGACGTCACCGGATCTCCGACGGAACTCTCGGAAGACTGCGGAGAGGTGAGTACCGATCAAAAGAATTTAACGATTAATCGAAGGATTAATCGTTAATTTCCGCAGCCCTACTCCATACCCAACCTCTGAAACCAGAGGGACCCCTTGTGTCATCATTTAGGAGAGCCTACTGCCCTGACTCCAAGAGGAATCTTTTATACTAAACCCACGTCACCCTGAAATCTGAAATCCCCCCCACCCCCAACTAGATCTTTTACATGTGTGTCTTGTCATAACAGTGTGGCCACTGAGACCCCCTTTTTCCCTCCCAGTCCTGGGCCCCTGAGACCCTCTCTCTCTCCCCCTCTCAATTTTGGGCCCCTGAGACCCACCCTCTCAATACCAGACCACTAAGACTCCCCTTCTCCCTCCCGATCCCTAAGCCCCGCGACTCCCCTTCTCCCTCCCGATCCCTATAGGATTAATCGTTAATTTCCGCAGCCCTACTCCATACCCAACCTCTGAAACCAGAGGGACCCCTTGTGTCATCATTTAGGAGAGCCTACTGCCCTGACTCCAAGAGGAATCTTTTATACTAAACCCACGTCACCCTGAAATCTGAAATCCCCCCCACCCCCAACTAGATCTTTTACATGTGTGTCTTGTCATAACAGTGTGGCCACTGAGACCCCCTTTTTCCCTCCCAGTCCTGGGCCCCTGAGACCCTCTCTCTCTCCCCCTCTCAATTTTGGGCCCCTGAGACCCACCCTCTCAATACCAGACCACTAAGACTCCCCTTCTCCCTCCCGATCCCTAAGCCCCGTGACTCCCCTTCTCCCTCCCGATCCCTAAGCCCCGCGACTCCCCTTCTCCCTCCCGATCCCTAAGCCCCTGAAACCCCCCTTCTCCCTCCCGATCCCAGCTTTTTTTCACCCCCCACAATCCCTCTGCACACCTGAGTACCCATAGACGGCCTTACTCAGTCTGGAAATGTATTTCATTATCTGTGTATAATGTCCTTGCAGGGCTATGTGAAGAGACAAGCGTTGTATGCGTGTAATACCTGCACCCAGGACAAAGAGGAGCCCGCTGGCATCTGTCTGGCCTGTACATACAAGTGTCACGAAGGCCACGACCTGTTCGAGCTATACACAAAGAGGTACCCCGTCCTCTCTATATCATGACACCCCTCTGCCGGCTCCCCTATTATTACTCTGGGGGGTTACGGCCCGCTCTTCCTCCTCATTTGTATTTAACATTCTTGTTTTATTTCGTGTTTTGCAGGAACTTTCGCTGCGACTGCGGAAATGCAAAATTTAAACAGCTGGAGTGCAAATTATATCCCGTACGTACAAATCCTCCTAATCGTATTAGAAAAAAAACTGAGGACCCTTCAATGTATTTATCATGTCATGGAGGGAGACCACCCTAAACTTTAATAGAAGAGTTGTGGAGCTGTTATGTCAAAACGTCTTGTGCCAAAGCAGATCTGTGTGATCATCTGTATACAAATATGCCGGATTATTGGTCTGCAAAGGACCAATTATAGAGCCAGAGTCCACAAGTGACGACGTGTTTCACCCTTATATCAGGTGTAGAATGAAACAAGATCACATTTCCCATAGGGGGGTCGGCAGGGAAGTTTACTGGAAGGAACCACTGAGCTCAGGGGGGTCACTCCCAGCTGACTTCAGCGGAGGATTTCTTAACTTTTTCTGACTAAGCTTCTTTGACACGGATGACATTTTGGCCAATGTACTTTAAGAAGCATCCTTCAGACCAGTGGTTGAATGTACGGGATTGCAGTACCACACGTTCCAGTGCGCGCAATTGAACTGTGGGTGGGAGGTGCGTTTGGGGTACCATTCAAATGAATAGCAATGCACCTTTTGCACCAGAACGACTGGTGGGTGCGATTGCGTGGTACAGTGCGTTACTCGCAAGGGACTGTACAGCTCCCCTTGTGCGCCCTGTAGGGGTGACGGGAGCCAGAATGTGTCACTCTGGTCCTGGCACCTTTTCAGGACACACGAGGGAGATGTAAGCAACGCACACGTATGGAAGGAGCTTCCTGTGGCTATACCCCAGCCCACCCCACCTCAAGCTGACACTCAGCCGGGCAGCATATCTCGAATGGCTGCTCAGCATGAGAACTGACAGTCCTGCGCTAGGGGGATGCTGAGGAGCCTCTCCTCTAGCGAAGCGGAAGGCACGCGGCGATCCACTGAACATGGGGTGGCAGCCCACTTTTGGGTCACGACCCATCAGTAAACCACGGCTTTTGAGCCCTCTTTGGGCAATAATGAAGCCCCCCCCCCCCCCTACCTACCTCTTACCATTCTGTATTCTGGAGCATGGATGTACTTGCTTAAGTCCTCTGCCCGGGTCCCTGGTCAGCGCCATTCCTGGGTGCAGGGGACCGGTAATCCCAGGGCTGCCGATGTGCACATGCTGCCCTGCACCCTTTTGCTGACATCATCCTTTTCTGGATCCTGAAAGGACCCCACTGCTGGACAGCCAATAGAAAGTGTCCACCTCACGTACAAAGGACCTTGTCTCTCCAGAGAAGGAGAGAAGACTTGGCACCTGAACATCATGTGACTGCGGGTTAAGGTGAGTAAAGGGGAATTTAGGTATGTTTTTGTGGCTATATAAGATGGATAGGCGAGGGGGGGGGTGTCTGTGGGGGAAGGTTACTTGCTTAAGTCCTCTGCCCGGGTCCCTGGTCAGCGCCATTCCTGGGTGCAGGGGACCGGTAATCCCAGGGCTGCCGATGTGCACATGCTGCCCTGCACCCTTTTGCTGACATCATCCTTTTCTGGATCCTGAAAGGACCCCACTGCTGGACAGCCAATAGAAAGTGTCCACCTCACGTACAAAGGACCTTGTCTCTCCAGAGAAGGAGAGAAGACTTGGCACCTGAACATCATGTGACTGCGGGTTAAGGTGAGTAAAGGGGAATTTAGGTATGTTTTTGTGGCTATATAAGATGGATAGGCGAGGGGGGGGGTATCTGTGGGGGCAGCCCAGAGAGGGGGTTCAATTCATGCCATTGATTTTATTTGTAGAATGATGATGCCACATGATAGAATATACAGTATGCTTAGGATCTGTGTGATGGATCGTCTGTATGGAGTAGATGAGTTTATCATCTGTAACCTCTTTTCTCTTTCTTGTCTTGCAGGATAAGGAGAAATACAACACAACAAATAAATACAATGACAATTTCTTTGGTCTGTACTGCACCTGTAAGAGACCATATCCCGATCCAGAGGACGAGGTGAGCCCCCTTTTCAGTTTCTTGTTGTATTCTTTACATCTGCACTCCAGCCTCCCCTTCAGTCTTGCACAGCTATACCGTCTCCTCTCCTGGACTGAAATTGCTTCCTCCAGGATTTCACTGCACGTGGCTTCCTGAAGACATCACAGCACCCTGCCTCAGTACTCCTCAACAGCTCTCTGTCCTGATGCAAGCAGTGGGCTGGATCTTGGGAGGAGTTATGCAAATATTAAAATGCCTTGATGGGTGGCTGTCAGTCTGGAGGAGTGGGCAATCCTATGCTGGCTTCATGTGCATGCTGTCTGTCCTACGTAACACCCACATGTGAAGCTGAACCTCCATGATTGAAAGAACTGAAATGCAATGAATGAAAGAAAGAGGCGGTGCCAGGGACGGTCATGCTGGCGAGGAAAGAGCAATGCGATGCTGGACGTCCTCCAGCCAAGAAATGAGGCGGAGCTCTATCTGAATTGCCGAAGCTTCTAATGCACATTGTGAGAAGCTCAAAGTAAGCCATTTTAGTCCAGGGGAGCAGCTGGTACAACTGTGCAAGGCTGGAGGGAAGGTCAGCTTAAAGGAAGTTGTCATTATCCGGGGTATTTCATCTGCACTGAACCTTTTTATATGCTATGATACATTTTTTGTCTTCTATAGACCCCAGATGAGATGATCCAGTGTGTAGTCTGTGAGGACTGGTTTCATGGCCGGGTAAGAGCTGGTTATAATATTCTTTGGGTTAAACGTTTGGCTCTTCATGTTGTCCGGTTAGTCTGTAACGTCGGTGTCTCGGATAATACTGTAGACTAATAATAAAAACAAATGGCTTCTCTCCTAAGAACATTTATTGCCTTTCCAGCTAAAAGAAAACTGAATAATGATTGCCATGGACAATGAATGTTTTCTCTATCTCTAGAGCCGGCAACAATCATATTTTTTAATTTTTTTTGTGTTGCAGCACCTGGGGGCAGTTCCACCGGAGCATGAAGAGTTTCAGGAGATGGTGTGTCAGGGCTGTATGGATCACTGTTCATTTCTATGGGCCTATACTGCCAAGTTAGCAGGTAAGAGCTGACTTTCCACACGTCTCAGTGATGTCACCAGTCTGTAGTGATTGGATAGGCTGCGTTCTCAGTGATGTCACCGCTCTCTAGTGAAGGGATAGGCTGCATTCTCAGTGATGTCACCGGTCTCTAGTGAAGGGATAGGCTGCATTCTCAATAATGTCACCGCTCTCTATTGAAGGGATAGGCTGCATTCTCAGTGATGTCACTGGTCTCTAGTGAAGGGATAGGCTGCATTCTCGGTGATGTCACCGGTCTCTAGTGATTGGATAGGCTGCATTCTCGGTGATGTCACCGGTCTCTAGTGAATGGATAGGCTGCATTCTCGGTGATGCCACTGGTCTCTAGTGGATGGCTAGGCTGCATTCTCAGTGATGTCACCGCTCTATAGTGAATGGATAGGCTGCATTCTCAGTGATGTCACTGGTCTCTAGTGAAGGGATAGGCTGCATTCTCGGTGATGTCACCGGTCTCTAGTGATTGGATAGGCTGCATTCTCGGTGATGTCACCGGTCTCTAGTGAATGGATAGGCTGCATTCTCGGTGATGCCACTGGTCTCTAGTGGATGGCTAGGCTGCATTCTCAGTGATGTCACCGCTCTATAGTGAATGGATAGGCTGCATTCTCAGTGATGTCACTGGTCTCTAGTGAATAGATGGGCTGCATTCTCGGTGATGTCACTGACCCCCTAATGAGTAGATTAGGGGGCCAGTGAGTAGATGGGCTGCATTCATTGAGTATCTTATGTTCACTTGCAGTTCCTGGTGTCACCAAGATTATCAAAGCAGAAACAGAGAGTGAAGATGTTACAGTTGATGATTGTCCTACGGAAACAACGGACACTCAGAATGGTCCAACAATAAAAAGTGAAGAAGTGAAGGTGGAGATATCAAAGCTGCCTGATGTGAAGGAGGAAGAAAAGCCAAGCTGTCCATCTACCAGTGCCAGCAGTGATCAGGTACTCCCAGCCTAGAGCAGGATTGGGTTGCATGGTCACAGACCTGAATGGTTGCGACTCCATTGATGAGGTTTCCCCATCTCCTATTCCTCTGCCCACCTTCCTGTCACCGGAACGCGAAATGAAGGGAACTCTCCCAAACTGGAACACCAATTTAAATTCCACTGTTCAGATGTCTGAACTTTTGCGGCCAAAAAGATCTTACAGTGCCAAGAAATCTGCGTTAATATTCCACTGATCTGCCGAACGTTATACCCTGGAGATGGTGTTCAGTCTGTTTTATTGGGATATTTTTTTTTTTTTTTCTTCCTAGAAATATTGTAACGGTGAAACGTCTCGGGATGTGAAGACCAACATTAAACTCAACACTGTGTGCAAACTTGAAGAATACAGAACAGCCCAGGGGCCCGACACCAACACTGCCACCTACTGGCCGAGCAGCTGGCGGAGTCAACTCTGCAGATGTGCAGGATGCATGGTATGCCACGATGATGTTTTGGAGATGCATGTTCAAATCAAAACCTGCCCACAGCTGCCATAAAAAGTCAGAGCCTCCTTGACAAAGTGCTTAGTTAACACTATATAAAGCAATAGGTTGTCTATGCCTTATAATAGGGTTGCACAGATACCAAGTACAGTACTCTGTACAAGTACAGATACTTTTCCAGCTCCAAGACTAGACTAGAGAAAAAGGTAAAAGTTAGGCACACGGAGCTCCCGGGATTTGTACATCTCTGTTATAATGTATGATTTTGTTTTTCTAAATAAAGGGATGCACAGATACCAGTTTTGCGAGTACAAGTACTGATAGATTTTTGTCTATTGTCATGTGACAGTTTTTATAAAACAATACAGACTAATGATTTCAGGACAGTGGTGGGGCGACAGAGCCCGGTCCCAGCTGCAGCTGCAGCAACCCTGGGAGTTCTCATGAAAATGCCGACTATCTGCACTGGTACTTGAAAGGTATCTGTGCATCCCTACCTTTATAATTGCTCTACTAATAATAATAACAGGAGAGTCTTTTCTGTAATTTTATTGCCAATTTGATAAAATAATGTTGGTTCAAAATTACCAGAACAAACGTTTTGTTTTTTAATTGTTGGTAATTAGATATCTTTTAGCTGCCTACATGGTCCTATTCAGGTTGTGTAGCGGTGGCACCCTAGGTTTATAAAGCTGGCTCTTCATTTTTAACCTTGCCTACTATGTGCCTATCCTGACTTACATATACTGGTCTATGTTCTTCCCAGAAAATCTACACGGATTTGGATGTTCTCTTCCTGCTGGAAGAATGCGACACAGTTCAGGCCTATGAAAATAAAGGGAAATCGGAGGAGCAAGAGGCTAGAGACCCTTTGATGACCGCACTCAGCGGCATGAACCGCGTCCAGCAGGTGGAGCTGATCTGCGGTAAGGCACAGGAACGTTTGCATTCGGGACACACAGGCTTAGGGCTCGCAGGAAGGGACCAGATTGGTCTGGGTGGGAACATGTGTGGTATCAATTTTATACACCTCCAGAAGAGTTTATTGTAGATCCGAGCCTTCAGCCTTTCTCCTAGCTGAAGTAAGCTGTTTCTGGAATTCTGACATTTTGTATTTGGCATTGTTTACTTTTTGCTGCCCTTTTAAAGTATTCCTTTGCATAGCCACAAGTAAATCTGCAACGTAGATCAAAAGAAGGCAGCACACCTCCTTTTTGTTGCATGCTCTTGAAACCTAGATTGGTCCAATATGCAAATACCGACTATGAGAAGCCCTCTCAGTGCCTATGCTTTACTTATGCTGCTTGAGTGTGATGTGCAGGCTTCATATCCAAGAGGGGCATTTACATAAAGTGATAATCTAAGAAAATATTAAAGCGGACCTTTACCCCCTTTTCACTACAAAATACAATCGGCATGCAGCTCTGCTGATATGAAATCGTCTTACATTCATTAGCTAAACAAACATATTTTAATTTTATCTACAGTTTCTTGTTTTTCCCTTCCTGGTTCTCTTTGGCACAAATGATGTAATCTGTGCCCAAGCGTTGCATCCTGGGAAGATATCAGCAAAACATTGCTGGGAAATTTTATCTATAATCTCGGGAAAAGGCATTTTCCTCCCCTGAGATGATGTGCATGGTCACATGTCCTAGTCACGTGTCTAGTCACATGTGCCAGAGTTCCAGGAAGTTAAGGGAGATTTGGTAAACTGTCCTTAGTTAAAATGACCGGTGTGAGAAGAATGGGGAGGAGAAGAGAAATAAGATATGCAAAGAATGAACAGCCAGCAATGGTCTCGAAGTATCCGTCTGTAGATTGTCATCACTAAACATTTCTAAAGGTGCCTTTGTGGTTATTTTGAAGATCTGGGGTAAAGTTCCTCTTTAAAGTAGAGTTCTATGCAAATCATGAACAAATCTGTTATCCAGCAATAAGTGGTAATGCCTTCGGCAGTGTTTTGTTCAGCTGACACTTGTCAGTGAGGTGACAACAGTTCAACTTTGTCCCAACACACACCCCGCTGTCACAGTTTGCATCGTGTGAGCTTTGAGAGTGACGCAGCGAGGTATGAGGTCACATGGTCTAAATCTTCAGAGACGCACAGCCTCCCTTCTTTCTCAGAACACATCCTCTCCCTCCCTAATCCAGCCCTGCACCCTACTACCCGCCCATCACATGCAAATCTCACCAGGCTCATAGGAGCCTGACTGGAAAGCGGCACATGACAACGTGTACAGCACAGTCCCACAAAAACGCCCCGCTATGCGGAAATGCCTCAATGCGTGCTGGCGGGACATAGTCTACCAATTCAGTTACAAGTCTTCAGGAATGCACAGAGAAGCGCTGATTAACCCCGTCCACCGCACCCTTTAGACACAGGCAGTGGAAGCGCTGGTCGCATGTTAAGAAATAGGTGCTCACAAACGTGAGGAATATTTGGAAGATTATTATTATACAGGATTTATATAGCGCCAACAGTTTGCGCAGCGCTGTACAATATAGGGAAGACATTACAGTCGCAATACATTTCAAGACAAGATTGTAAGGAGGGCCCTGCCCCTGAGGACTTACAATCTAAATGGGAGGGGCCAGTGATGCATGAGGAGGTCGCTGTGTGGGGATGAATTGTATGAGAACGTGATGGATGAGCGGTTAGGTTGAGGCGGGATCATATGAAGTTTTGTGCAGCAATGCTGAGCTGTTGCATTTGTCACCTTGCAGAGAGGCGAATTGACCTTTACAAAAACACTGTCACCTTGTCCATGCGCGGCAAAGTCTGAGTCTGTTCCCTCTCATGAGAAATTGTCCCTTTTATAGGGATAATGACAGATCATCTTCCAGATTATAGTTCCTCTTTACCAGCGCAGGTTGTAAAGTTCTCTGGGGAGAAGACGGCCGGGAAGCATCCAGCGCAACATCATCATTCTCATTAGTTTCAAGTTGATGTAACCCGTAGTAGTCATTTGTACAAGTTCCTCCGCCAACTCATGATACACAGAACGCTTTCTTTAAGGTTTAGAGAAACTGCAGGAAAACATTTCCATGTCTGTGTACTGCTATGTGTGCCCTTCTATTTGCAGAATATAACGACCTGAAGACAGAGCTGACAGATTATCTGAAGAGATTTGCAGAGGAAGGGAAGGTAAGCTGGATTTATTTTACCCTTGATTGTCCGAAGCCGGTGCTTGCTAGAATCAAAGCTGAACTCCAGGCAAACAGCTAAATACACAGATGAAATGTGTGTACATGAGCTACGTCCCTTACAACAGGATTTGTATTTGTCTATCCAGTTCTGAGATTTACACAGCTCAGTTATACAGGACAGCCTTGTCTGGCGGGGCAAGTGACCTAATCTTTACTCTAACACTTATCCCTCATTCACACTAGAAACGGCCGGCACGTAACGCTCCATGCACGGCAGCATCAGGCAGCTCCCGGGAAGGACAGGGGCTGCGTGTGATTAGTACGCAGCCCCCGTCCTTCTCTATGGGGGTACGCCGCCCTACGCTCACCTCAAGTGCAGGTCCATACGGGTGCGTGTTTCCTGCTCGGACGCAGACAGCGTACGAGTATGGACACCCGCACGGATTTGCGGGGCGGGTAAGCGTAGGGCAGCGTACGGCTTCGTTCTCCCATAGAGAAGGACGGGGGCTGCGTACTAATCACAAGCAGCACCTGTCCTTCCCGGGAGCTGCCCGATGTGGCCGTGCACGCAGCATGGAGCGTTACGTGCCGGCCGTTTCTAGTGGGAATGAGGCCTTGCAGGTCTTGTCCGTCTACCAGCCTGTGACTGGACAGTGAAAGGAGAACCAGCAGCTGATCTATCACTCTGATCTTTCTAAATGTACTCTTCCCAATAGTTTGAGCCGCCGTGTGACACTGTGTAACTGTCACACACCGGCTCGAGATCTGAGCAATCACAAACCAATGATCGCTCAGCTCCCGGCTTCTCCCTGCAGAGAGTAGTGACTGTTAGTCGCCGCTCCCCGCATGGATTCCCCTTTTTCCCCTCTCTGTTCCTCCAGCGCTCATTGGAGGGACATACAGGGGAGGGGGCTGGCTTCTTTATGAAGTGCTGGCAGATCATGGCTGGTGGGAGTCCGGCCATGAGCTGCCTGCACTTCATAGAGAAGCACAGAGACTCAGTGATGACATCACTGGGTCTAAAATAATGAAAACAGAAGTTTATTTTGATGTTGATGAGGTGGGGAGAAGGAATTATTTTGTACAATGTAAGCAGAATAAACTTCAGCTTTAACATCACCAGTGTAGCCCTAACCTAAGGTGAACATAGAATAGAAATATGGAGCTGCTGTCGCAGAGCCGACTTCGAGCTCTAGGGCTGCCCGTTCGATCTCGGCTACACTACTTTGTGAGTCGGTGACCTGGCACAAGCATGTGGTCAGCGAAGTCTGAGAAACTTTGCGTATGTCAAGCTTGTTCCAGTTCAGCGAATCACCAGAAGTAAAGGTGGGAATGACTGCTCCAGAGACGGCAATTTAAAAATGGCCGAGCCTTGCTTGGGAGCTTGCCGTATGTATCTCTGTCCTCACAGGTGTAGACTGAATCTCCTCTGTGATTTCTAATGACAGAGCTGTCTAAATATATCCTATTAGCAGCTGTCTCGGATGCTGACGGTGCTGCCGATATGTAAATGAGGCGATTTTCTTACCCCTGATGCGGAGAGTATCGGGTGTTCTCATGCTAAAAAATGTAAATGAAAAACGGTGTGATTTGCCGCTGTGCTCAGGTGACTTGGCCTAATATAAAACCGCGTAAAGCATGGTGAGAAGCCTGCAATGTAAGAACCCAACAATGTTCTCCATGTGTGCATGCCCCCCCATCGCTTGCTATATAAGAACTGTACAATGTTCTCCATGTCCCCCATCACCTGCTATATAAGAACTGTACAATGTTCTCCATGTGTGCATGCCCCCCATCGCCTGCTATATAAGAACTGTACAATGTTCTCCATGTGTGCATGCCCCCCATCGGCTGCTATATAAGAACTGTACAATGTTCTCCATGCCCCCCATCGCCTGCTATATAAGAACTGTACAATGTTCTCCATGTGTGCATGCCCCCCATCGCCTGCTATATAAGAACTGTACAATGTTCTCCATGTGTGCATGCCCCCCATCGGCTGCTATATAAGAACTGTACAATGTTCTCCATGTGTGTACGCCATTATGGAAGACACTTACGTTTTTCTCTTACCATCATTGGCATGAGGATCAGGAGCCATACATGGACTTCTATGGGATTGTCTCTGCCCTCAAGACACAGCTCCATAGAAATCACAGTGATCACATTTTCAGGAGCCCATCCTACCTCTGGCGTTACAAGCTTTTAGGGGGCTGCTCTCTACCAGCTGGAAGGGGTGAAGGCAAACATGTTGTGTTGCAGTGCATCAGCTTTGCTTGAATGGCCACTCCCCAGCAGAGCAACTATGTTGTATAGAGCCGTGGTTCTCAACTGGTGGGTCGCGACCCTGTGTCCAGTGCGTCGCCACGTGCCTTCCACTTTTCTAGGTGAGAGGCTCCTCAGCCTCCCCCTAGCGCAGCACTGTCAGTTCTCGCACAGAGCAGCCATTCAAAATATACTGCCCGGTGCCGAGTGTTAGCTGGAGGTGGGGTGGGCTGGGGCAATGGCTGCGATGGAGCTCCATCCATACCTGCATTGCTTACTGCTCCCTCATGTTCCCTGTAGAGGTGCCTGGACTGGAGTGAGTCCAAAGCACATATGGATGGAGCTCCATCACTGCACAGCAGCCTACAATGGACCCCAGGCTGAGGATCCACTCCGCGTTCTGGTGTGGGAGGTGCGTTGCATTGCCATTTGGTTGGCACCTCAAACGCACCTCCCACCCACAGTTCGATTGCCTGCACCATAAAGCGCAGTACAGCCATTCTGTACAGTTCATTGCAGTGCGACTTGGGTCGCGACTCAATGACCGCGGACAAATGTGGGTCCCTGAGGTTACGTAGGTCGAGAACCACTGATCTAGAGGAACATATGGTTCATCTTCTCATGACACAGCATGATGATCAGTAATAACATGTGCGGGCTTGCTGTGAACCCAAGCCAACACACAACTATGGCTGACATCCCCTCCCCCCTTATTCCTGGCCCAATCAGTTGCGGCTGGAACGTTCCCCGCTATACATCACAAAGGGAAATGCCCCGGCCACAGCTGATTGGGCTGGCAGGCTGATATGTTAATTAGAGATCTGATTGGGCTGGCAGGCTGCTATGTTAATTAGAGATTTGTGCAGGCTTGGGTAAAACATTTGCACCAGGCCCCCCCCCCCCCCCCTTGGGGTTTAG